AGGGCAGAAGCCCGCCGCGCGCCTCAGGGCGCACAGAGGGCAGAGAACCGCCGCGTGCCACGGGGCGCATGGCGGGCAGAAAACCGCCGCGCGCCTCGGGGCGCACGGCGGGAAGAAAAACTTCCCCATGCCACAGGGCGTGCGACATAGAGAGTAGCAGTGGAAGTTGCAGCGGAAGGAGCATGGTGGGGCCCACGGGCCAGGAGCTTACTGCTCTGATCACCATGTGAAAAATAGGTGGTTAGGAGGTAGGAGCCATGGCTAGGAAAGCCCTAGCTAGGCAAGAATAGTTTAGGCAAAAAACGAGGGGTTGCACTAGCAAGATTGGGGATACAAATAGCAAACCCTAGAAGGGTTATACTCGCTATAGAGCACCCCACTACAGGCTAGAGCATAATATTCTGACAGACGGCTCAAGCTATGCACGTGGCGCTGCTGGACTTCCTCTTCTTGGAGAAGACCGCCGCGTCAACTCCGAGAGATCCTTCACCTTTGACAATCGTCAAGGGTCAGCTCCTGCACAAGACATCCCACAACGCTCACAGTCAGACATTGCATCAATGCAAACCAAATTTGTACTGACTTCAAAATTGAAGCCCTTAACTCCTTTCGACAAAAATGATTTCTACACGTGGAGTTTCGAATTCGAGCTTCTCGCGACAACCGCTCAAATCTGGATGTACTACGACGGAAGCCTGCCCTTTCCCTCGGAAGGTACCATCCGGGAGAAGCATCAATACTACCACGAATCCCTCCTCGCATACACCGCTCTCCTTCGCAATCTCTCACCTGAAGAGCAGCTTGGCATTCGCCCTTATAAGACGGAGTGGGCTCCCGCGCAAGCCTCCTGGGAACACCTGCGCAACTCATAGATGGCAACAGATCCAGTTACGATGAGCCGTCTACTCAGCCAACTGACTTCAGTTAAAATGAAGCAAGGGGAGAAAGCGGGACCGTATGTCAACCGGTGCCGCAATCTGCGTGACCAAGTCAAGAAATGCGGTGGGACTGTCCCCGACGACATGTTCATCTTGATGGTCATCTCTGGCCTCGGCCCTGACTGGCGACAATGCCAGTCACTCCTTCGCGCCCGAGCAACCATATCAGAGTCAGCTCTGTGCGCCACGCTTCTTTCGGAGCAGAAGGAAATTGACCTGTACAGCGAGAAGAACGTTAAACGGGAGAAATTAGTCTTCTACACAGGAGCATCACAAGGGGAACAACGCGGAAAGAAGGGATCTTTCTGCAAATACTGCAAGAAGTCTGGCCACCCTATCGACCAGTGCTACAAGCGTCAGGCCGCTGACGAGCGGCGCAACGCCTCCAGCCAACAACCATCAACGCAGACAAAGCTCTCCGCCACTGTGTCGCCTCCTTCCGTCGCCAGCACTTCCCAATCCCCTGTACTCATCACGGCGAAGGACAAAGGAAAAGGAAAAATCATAAGCTGCATGGCTCGACGTAACAGAGGGTCCTGTTACTGGGATCAAACAACATTCACTCGCGACAATCCCATCGACCTCGTTGCGCCCAGTCCGGACAATGACCCAACAGCTTTTACTTGGTCCTCTCGCCCCTCAGATATTCCTCCTGACTTCGAGCTCCCTCCCCCTACTCCGGAATCGCCGCCGAGCATTTCCGCAAATAGATATTTTGCCCTCTCACCGTACACCGGCGACCTCGATCGCATCGTCACACCCAAGATTGCCAACCTCGCCCGCCAACGCCACGAGGATTTGGACACGTGGTACCTCGACAGTTGCTGTGGACAACACATGGTGGGATCGCCAAAGTTCATCAGCAACTCCCGACGCATGCGACGACCCTGCGAAATCACTGCCGCCAACAACAAAAAAATGAAGGCATATGAGATTGGCGAAATCTACCACGAGGCCGATGACACGAAGTTCACCATTCACATCGGGGACGTTCTTGTCGCCCCTGATCTACAATACAACTTACTCTCATCAGCTCAACTCATGCGGTGCGGAATCGACATTCGCAGCAATCAGAAGGAAAAGACCTTCGAGCTCTTCCACAACGAAACTTACATCGGAAAGGCAATCGATAACGATGGAGTCTTCGTGCTGCAATTTTCTGCTCAGGGCACCACCGGCGACTCCCACCGCACAGTACTACTGAAAAAAACTCCCATGCAGCCGCCGACATGGTCACATCCCGACGAGATGGACCTCGAACGACCAGCCTCCAACGGCCTTCTACGCTTGCGCACTGTCCCGACTGCATCAACCTCCAACCCTGCAGAAACCGGACCTGCCACAATGGAAGAAGACAGCGGCACGTCAGGACCTGCAACTCAATCAACCGAGGAAAACAAGACAGCGGAGACTCACTGGCCGGGCTGGAACACTTCCGAGCCCACGCTCGGACCCTGGGGAGAAGTACTGACTCCAGAAGAAACAGCCGCAAGTTGGAGGGGAGCAGTTCCAGCAGAGGAAGTTGGCGCCAGAGGAGGATGGGACACCACGGCTGAATCAGAACAAAGGCACGCGGAAGCAGCTGGCTTTCCCCCTGCGGAAGTTGCCGTCGTTGACCCATACTGGGCAACTCGCGGCACCTGCTGGGGAGGTCCACCTCTCCCAGATCAATACGCCCCTGACACACCCAAGCAAAGGGAAAAAGGGTTAGAAGAAGAAGAAGCCTATGAATTTATGGGAGAACCAATAGAGTTACCCAAACCTACCGAGGAGCCGGAGCTGCCCGTCCAAGGACCACAAGAAATTGAGGTCATCGGCGCTGAATACAGTTACTTCGGAATCCCCATGAAGGGACTCCCAGTTCGGGAATGGCCCAACCAATACCTGCTCGTTACCGGAGATCAAGTCAAAGCCGGCGACACGGACGACATCATCGATATCCCCCGCGTGCTTCTGGAGCGAAAGGAAATTCGAGCGCTCGCCGCCGACATCGACTCCGCCGAGAACGAAGGACCTGAAGGGGAGGCAAACGACGAAGCAGCGCAACAAAAGTATTATCAAAGGACAGTCGGTTACCGTGCGGACCCAGAAACATGGCACCAACGGCTCGGCCATCCCTCCCATGCCACGCTCAAAAACTCGCTCAAAGCCGGAGTCTTCGATAACGATGCGCTTCTTCTCTCTCGAAACGGTTCGCTTACCGCGGACTCACCCGCCGTGCACCGTCTGCCCAACCGCATCGCTCAATCACCAGCTTTTCCCCGACTTGCCCCCAGGGTATGAACGCTACAAGCCGCTAGACAAAGTTTACAGCGACTTTATGGTGCTCAGCCAGGAGGGGCTCAACGGGGAGCAGTACACACTTACCTTCATCGACGCATCTACTCGCTACGTCTGGGCCGTCAACACCGACAGCAGGTCTCTGGCCCTCGAGTGCTTCATTGCGTGGATGAAGCGGGCTCAGCGACACTCTGGTCTCAAACTCAAAACCTGGCAGACGGACGGAGCTCTGGAGTTCTTCTCAGACAAGTTCAAGGAGCTCCTCAAGCAGAAGGGGATTGAGCACCTGGTGTCCCTGCCCTACGCCCACCAACAGCAAGGAGTAGCAGAACGGACAAACAGAAGCCTCGCCACGTGGATGAGGGCCCTAATGAAGCAGTCGGCCATCCCAACAAAATATTGGCTGTTTGCGATGAATCACACTGTTCGGCTGCACAACTTGCTATCCTCGCAAAGCCTTGAGAACAACAACTCTCCATACCGGGCATGGACGGGCAGAAAAGCAGATACACGACTACTTCGGGTGTTTGGCTGCATGGTACTGTACAGACCCCACACTGCGAGAACCGGAAAATTTGCTGTCCGAGCACGATGGGGCATCCACCTCGGGATCGAGAAGGAATTCAAGGCGTGGATTGTTCTGGACTACGCGACACACGAGGTGACAAAATCACGTGATTGCATTGTCAAACACTATATGTGTTATTATTGTGTAGGCTATAGTGGGTTAGCCTTTAGGGGGTACACAAAGTTAGGGTTTCCTACTTGTACTCCAACTTTCATTGTTCAATCACTTCTTGTTCGTAACATGGAATCAGAGCAGGTCCTCCGCTAGGACCGATTCCTAGGGCCCACCACTTGTGCCAACTACTAGCGCCCTCGTGCGCCCTACTGTCGGAGCGCCCTCGAGCGCCTCCCCCCTAGCGCCCTCGTGTGCCCCGTTTTTTTTTTCACGGCCCCCTAAGGCCCCACAACCCGCAACCCGCCCCTTAGAGGCCCCGTCGACCCCGCGCGCCGCCCCTTAGCGGCCCCGTCGGCCCTAGTTGCCCCGCGTGCCGCCCCCTTAGAGGACCCGTCGACCCCGCGCGCCGCCCCTTAGCAGCCTCGTCGGCCCCGGTTGCCCCCTAGTGGCCCTGTCGACCCCACGCACCGCCCCTTAGCGGCCCCGCTGACCCCGTCGACCCCGCGCGTCCCCCCCTTAGAGGCCCCAGCCGGCCCCGTCGACCTCACGAGCCACCCCTTAGCGGCCCCGCTGGCCCCGTCGACCCCGCGCGTCCCACCCTTAGAGGCCCCAGCCGGCCCCGTCGACCCCAAGAGCCGCCCCTTAGCGACCCTGCTGGCCCCGTTGACCCCGCGCGTCCCACCCTTAGGCGCACCAGCCGGCCCCGTCAACCCCACGAGCCGCTCCTTAGCGGCCCTGCAGGCCCCGTCGACCCCTCACAAGCCGCCCCTTAGCTGCCCCCTTTGGCCCCGTCGACCCAACGCGCGACCCCCTTAGAGGCCCCAACCAGCCCCGTCACCTCCACGAGCCGCCCCTTCCCGAAACCCACGGCCCCGCCAGAACGAGCCGCCCGAACCGAGCAGCCCGAACCAAGCCGCCCAGCCCGAACCGAGCCGCCCGAAACTGAGCCGCGCCGCCCGAACCCGAGCCGAGCCGTCCTACCTGAACCGAGCCGTGCCGCCCGTACTGGACCGAACCGCCCTACCTGAGTCGCCCGGCCTACTGTTTTTAGGGTGCACCTACTGCTACTACTACTACTCTACTGCTACTCTACTGCTGCTATGGCTAGCCCTCCTGTGCTAGCTTTCGATGCTGAGGGCTGCCCACTGAAGTTCGATACATGGCTAGATCACCTACACCTCTTCCTACAGCTCACTGCCAAGGAGGACATCTCACTGTACGATCACGCCCTATGCCATGCTACTGCTCCTGCTGCTACTGCTGACAGCACTGCCCGCTCACAGTGGCAGACTCGTGACGCCCACGCTCGCTTCGTTATTCGCAACTCCCTGCCGATAGATGAGCGCGAGCACTTTGGCCAGCACAAGACTGCACAGGCACTGTACACCGCTGTCGTTGCCCACTACTCCTCACGTGCCTCTGCCGCACTAGGCCGTCTCTCCATCCCCTACCTGTTTCCCGACCTGGCCTCGTTCCACACAGTCGCTGACCTCATCACGCTCCTCCGTACTAGTGAGGCCCGCTTCTGTGCCACCATGCTCGATGGTGGGCGCGGCGGCGGCAGGGGAGGAGGTGGTCGAGGAGGTGGTGGCGGCACTGGTGGTCGTGGAGGCAATGGCGGTGGCCAGAGCCTACAGCACTCTCCGTCGCCCCAGGACCTCCGTGAGTGGTACGCTCGGCACGGGGGGGGTGGTGGCCTTAGCTGCACGTACGTCATCCGCACTGGTGACCGCACTGGTCAGACGTGTGGGAGGGCGAACCCCACGCAGCGCTACTTCTCACGCCTTGATGACGCTTGGCGTACTCAGTTCCCTGACGCCACTGAGCTGCCCTGCTGGGCTGATCAGATGAAGCAAAACATTGATATCTTTGCTCTAGACTTTGATGCTATTCTCTCTGCCATGTATGTGATGTCTATTAGTGGAGAGGGTGCCTAGTACCTGCGTGTTCCGCCCGACCCGGGCATTCGACCCGGTGAGGCTACCGCTCTAGGTGCTAGAGTGTCTACAGCCCCAGGTGCTGGTGAGGTTACTGCTCTAGGTGCTGGTGCGTGTACCCCCCCTGTTACTGAGTCGACTAAGGCACTGCACACCTTTACACTAGACTCAGGTGCCTCCCGCTGTTTCTTTTGTGGCCGCACGGCTGTTGAGCAGCTTGCTCGGCCCGTTGCAGTCTCTCTCGCTGACCCCTCTGGGGGTCCAGTCCTTGCGACCTCCTCCACTCTCCTCCCTTGTCCGGCCGTCCCATCGGGCACACTGTTCGATCTCTACCTCCCCTCGTTCTCAACGAACTTGGTGGCGGGTAGTGCGCTCCAGGATAGGGGTGTTCACCAGTTCACCCCTGCCTACGAGCGCGTGACACACTGCACGTGTGCTCGGACGGGCCGTCACCTGGCGACCTTCACACGGCAGCCAGGGTCGGACCTGTACACACTGACTACTGAGTCCCCTCAGGTAGCTGCGTGTGCGTCTGCGTCAGGTCAGCTGTCGGCCCCCTGCTCGTGCCGCTCTCTTGCGCACGAGACAGTCCTCTAGCACCACCGCCTTGGTCACCCGTCCATGCAACGCCTTCGGGCAATGCACAAACGGTACCTTGTCTCTGGTCTTCCCAGGGTTCTCCCTCCCCTCCCACCCTCACCTGCTCCTCCCTGTCTTCCCTGTGTCAAGGGGCGGCAGCGCGCCGCTCCTCACTCCTCCTCGTTTCCCCCGACGACTGCTCCCTTGCAGACGCTCCACATGGACGTGTGGGGCCCAGCCCGCGTCCGTGGTCAGGGTCAGGAGAGGTACTTCCTGATAGTTGTAAACGACTACTCGCGCTACACCACGGTCTTCCCCTTGCACACCAAGGGTGAGGTCCCTGATGTTTTGATCCCTTGGATCCGCGCTTCTCGTCTCCAGCTCAGCGAGCGTTTCCACTCGGACTTTCCTGTCCTGCGCTTGCACTCTGACAGAGGTAGTGAGTTCTCCTCCGACCTCTTGGCAGCCTACTATGCGGAGCACGGCATCCACCAGTCGTTCACGCTTCTGGCCTCTCCACAGCAGAATGGGGCTGCTAAGCACCGCATTGGCCTAGTCATGGAGGTCGCTCGTACCTCCTTGATCCATGCGGCTGCCCCCCACTTTTTGTGGCTGTTTGCGGTCCGATACGCTGCGCATCACCTCAACCTTTGGCCCCGTGTCTCCTTGCCGGAGACCTCCCCGACACTGCGTTGGACGGGAGAGGTTGGCGATGCATCGCGTTTTCGGGTCTGGGGATCCCGAGCTTTTGTTCGCGATACGTCCGCGGACAAGCTCTCCTCCCGCGCTGTTCCATGTGTCTTCCTAGGCTTTGTTCCGGACGCGGCTGGTTGGCAGTTTTACCACCCTACCTCGCGCCGTGTCCTCGCCTCTCAGGACGTCACCTTTGACGAGTCGGTACTCTTCTACCGCCTCTTCCCCTACCGCACTGCCCCGCTCCCTCGCCCGCCTCTCTTCCTCGCGCCAGGTGCTGCTGTGGTAGACCCCCTCCCCCCTCAGGGTGCCGCTCCCTCAGGTGTGTCCTAGGTAGACCCGGTTGAGCCTGTCGAGGTAGCGGTCGACTCTCGTCCTGCTCGGGGTGCTGAGCCTGAGTGTGCGGAGCCTGGGGTTGCGGAGACTGGGGGTGCTGAGCCTGGGGGTGCAGAGTCTGGGGGTGCAGATTCTGGGGGTGCTGAGCGTGGGAGTACCGAGCCTGCTGGTGCTGAGTCTGGGGGTGCTGAGCCTGGGGGTGCTGAGCCTGGGAGTGCTACGCCTGGAGGAGCTCTCTCCTCACAGCAGCTGCGTGAGTGGTACTTACAGTACTGCAGCCTCAGAAGAGGTGCTGCTGGAGCTGGTGCTCGTACTTCCTCGCCTAGGCAGGAGCTGACCTCTCCCCAGCGTCTTCGTGAGTGGTACGCACGGCGCTGCAGTCTCAGGAGTGGCGCTCCTAGTGTCGCGGACCCTACTAATGGTGCTGCGGACCCGGGCGTTGGAGCTGCTACTGGTGCTGCGGACCCATGCGTTGGAGCTGCTGCTGGTACTACGGACCTGGGCGTTGGAAATGGTGCTGGTGCTGCGGACCCAGGCATTGGAGCTGCTGCTGGTGCTGCAGACCCGGACGTTGGAGGTGCTGGGGGTGCTACTGGAGCTGCTAGAGGTTCTGGTGTTGTCTCTGCTGCTGCAGGGGGCACCTCACGGCCGCGGCCGTACTTTATTCCACTCCTTCAGCAGGTTCTTGGCCAGTCACCTCCGCCTTGTCCCCCTCCCTCTGTAGAGTGTCCACCACCGGTCCAGTCGCAGTCACAGCTACCGCCTGCCTCGCCACTTCCTCGTCCTTCTCCCTACACTGGTCCTACAAGCAGTCTCACATAGCGCCGTCAGCCTGAGTCTCGCCCTGTGTCGCCTGTGTCCCGTCCTGAGTCCCCTGTTTGTACTACTTCCACCAGTCGCCGTCCTCCCCGAGAGCGTCCGCCACCGGTTCCTGGCACACACCGGATGTCACTGCGTTCCTCCACTGCTACATAGCGTGTCCCTCTGCCGTCTCCTCCTGAGTCCTCTCTTCCTGCTCTTGCTCACCCTGTGTCTGACTCTCTTCGTGCTGCCAGTCCTACTGTTACGCGTCTCCTTGCCACTGCTGTCACTAATCCTTCCTTTGAGTCTGCTGCTGCGTCTGCCCTAGTTGCTGAGCTTGTCGACTTTGCTGCTCGCTGTCGTCTAAACTACGCTGCCAGTCTTGTTGCTGAGTCTGAGTCTGTCTGTCCTCCGTCTGTCGGGGGTGAGGGTGCTCTTAGCACGGACGTCCTTGAGGACAGACAGGAGGATCTTGAGTGTCTTGCAGCCGCAACGCCCCATCTCGTGTCCATGCTAGTTGCCCCTGAAAGAGACTCGGATGCACCAGACATCTCGACTACTCGATCGTACGCTGAGGCAATGGAGGGTCCCTACTCCTCTCAATGGCAGTCAGCCATGGAGACAGAGATGGCTTCCTCGAAGTCCACAGGCACCTACGTTAACGAGGTTCCCCCACCTTGGGCGAACATCGTCAATGGCATGTGGATTTTCAGGGTGAAGCGGCCGCCGGGTTCTCCGCCTGTCTTCAAAGCGCGCTACGTTGCTCGGGGCTTCAGTCAGCGAGAGGGAGTTGACTTCTTCCAGACCTTCTCCCTGACCCCGAAGATGACCACTCTTTGGGTTCTGCTGCGGAGATAACTACTACAACGGGAGCTTAGAGTACTGGCTAGGCACGTGTGCTCGTGTGATGTCTGCGTTCGTTGGTCCTTAGACGTTTTCCTAGTGCTCACACTGCTTGCTAGTTCATGGGGCAATTTGGCAAGAGTTTCACTAGAGAACGTTGTCAATATTGGTACAATCAAGTTGGCATGGCAAGACTACATCAGAGCTAGCATTCAGGTTGATCGACTGCCAGCACAGCATGGTCGACCGCGTTCCAGCACGACTTGGTCGACCGCGCTCCAGCAGTGCAAAGTCGACAGCTTGCCAACGCTGCAGGTTGACGGTGTGCCAGCATTGCTCACGCAGGACAGCAGTGCACCCGCTTTGCAGGTGCGCGCAGATGATTGGCATGCAAAGTCTCGTCATCTGCACAGCGCACACACCAGGTCAACCTCGGGCTAGCGACTGCCTCTGATCCGCCACGACGACCTCGGGATACCACCATGGAGGTCGGTCTCGCCAACTTCGCCTGGGTGACCGTCGCACTCCTTCGCAGAACCTCGTCACCCAGGTATCCTGGTCGACCGGGCAACTATGTCGACCAGCTGCTCCTGTATGTGCTCGTCGACCTCCCAAGTCGACAACCACACAAAGTCGGCGTCACCAGGTCGACGCCCCTTCTACGTCGGCGCCGACTTCCAGGCTGACCTCTCGAAGTCGGCGTCCTCCCAAGTCGGCGCCGACTTGCAAGTCGGTGACCTTGCAAGTCGGTGACCTTGCAAGTCGGTGACCTTGCAAGTCGGTGCCGACTTCCAGGTCGACGTGCCACATCGCCGACCACCAGTTGAAGTCGGCCGCCGGCTTCCCAAGTCGGCGGCATTGCAGTGGCGCCGTGCAAGTCGACCAGCCCCGTCGACCAGCTCGTCCAAGTCGGCGTCCCCACTGCTGCAAGTCGGCTGTACCTTCCGTACACCCCACCACAAAGTCGGCTCCGCCCAAGCGTGGACGGGGCCAACACACAACTCCCGTTGACACTCCCCTGCCGCGTTCACGCTTGGCCCCCCCAAGTCCACTCGGCAGTACTCCTCGGAGAATAGCTCGTCGACGTGCACCCAACACACAGCACATCGTCCACCGCACCAGCCATGCAAGAGGGCATGGCACCTACTGCTGCACGTTGTCATCTTCGTCGCCAACGTCGGCCAAGCGCACCTGGCCGATGGCGACGGAGCACCGGTTGAAGGCCGGATAGTGCAGCGCCTTTGTCAGGAAGTCGGCCGGCTGCTCAGTGGTCGGGATGTACCTCAGCGAGAACTTCCCGCGCTTCACCATGTGCTGCAGCCAGGCTTGACGCCGCTCCATGTGCTTGAGGTTGCCCGTCAACCCCATGCCCTCGACGACTTTGATGGCCGACTTGTTGTCCACCCGAAGGACGGTCGGCTTCCCGGCATCCAGCTGCCGGAACTCTGCAAGGAGGAAGCGAAGTCGGCGTCCTTCCTTGCCGGCCTCGGTGGCTGCCACGTACTCCGACTCAGTCGATGACAACGTCGCACACTTGATGCGCTGGCTCGACCAGGAGACTGCGGCCCCTCCATAGACGAACACGTAGCCACCCGTGCTCGTCCTATTCTGCTTGTCACCGGCGTCGTCGGCGTCCACGTAGCCGACCAGCTCCAGCGACTCAGGTCCACCGCCGAACTCCAGTGCGGTGTCGCGCGTATTGGCGAGGTAGGCGAGGCAGCGGTCGACCTCGCGCCAGTGCTGGTCGCTCCTCACCGTGAGGCCGCTCCCCAGCTTGCTGCAGGCGAAGGCGATGTCCGGCCTCGTCGTCGTTGCCGCGAACTGCAGCGAGCCGACCTTCTGCCGTTACTCCTCTTCCTGCCGCTCCTGTGCCTCCTTGTCATCGAACGTGAGCTCGGCGTAGGCATCGACCGAGACCGGCGTCTTCGGGGTGCGCCCGGTCTGCTCCTCGTCGATGAAGCGCCTACGAAGCTTGTCGGCGTAGCCCTGCTGGTGCAGCCACAGCTTCCCCGCCGACCTGTCGCGGACGATCTTTAGCCCGAGGTACTTCTGCACCGGCGAGATCTCACGCAGCTCGAAGGCGGCTTCCAGAAGTTCCTTCAGCTCCTTCAACATCGCGGCGCTACTGCTGGCGGCAAGTAGGTCGTCGACGTAGACCAGCACCCAGCAGGCCACTCCGTCCTTTCCGTCCTTGAAGTAGAGAGCCTCGTCGACCTGGCTCTTCTTCCACCCGGCGCCGACCAGCACGTCATTGAGCGCCAAGTACCATAGCAGTGGCGACTGCTTTAGCCCGTACAGGCTCTTCAGCAGCTTGCACACCCGGCCGGTCCCGTCGTTGAAGTAGTCCGGCTGGGACATGTAGAGCACCCTGTCGAGCTTGCTCTGCAAGAAGGCGTTCTTCATGTCGAGCTGCATCAGGTTGAGGTTGCGGACGGCGACGATGCTGAGGAAGATCCTCAGCGTGACGTAGCTGCCCACCGGCGCGAACGTCTCGTCGTAGTCGGCGCCGTACACCTGCGTGAAGCCCTTCACAACCAGCCTCGCCTTCTCGCGCTCGACGGTGTCGTCGACGTGGTACTTAGTCGTCAACACCCACCGGTTCTTCATGACATTCACTCCCGGCGGACGTTCGACCAACTCCCACGTTCCCATGTTGAGGAGGCTGCGAATCTCCTCCTCCATGGCGGCCTTCACTGCCGGGCCCTTCCAGCTCGCCAATGCGTCCTTCACCGTCATCGTCGAGATGTCCCAACGGTGCTCGGGGTCGGCTAGCATGTCGGGGTCGAGCTCTGGGAACTCCTCATCCTCCTCGGCATCGTCGTACAGCAGGTCGTCGGCCTCATCGTCCACGTCGTACACCGTGGTGAAGGCAGCAGGGACGAAGAAGTCAGGCGGCCTCCGAAGTCGGCCTGAACGCCGTGGTCCTGGCTGGACCTCCTCGGCGTCCCCTCCATCGTTGCTGTTGTCGCTGCCCTCGGCGTCCTGCTGCTCCTCAGCCGGCGTCCCAGCCGACTTCTCCCCTATGGTCGGCTGCCCTGCCGACTGCCCGGTCGCCGACTGCTCCTTGGTCGGCGTCACTGCTGCCTGCTTCTTTGTCGGCCGCTGGTCCTCGACCTTCTTCTCGACCTGCTCCTCCCCTGTCGGCGTCGACTGCAATCCCACGTCGACCTGCCGCTCGTCACGTCGGCCACCGGCGATGCACTTGGCCGAAGGCGACGTCCCACTACTCCCCTCATCGCCGGAGGCCGACACCGAGGTCACCCCACGTAGGTCGGCCACGAGGAAAGGGGCAGGGGTCGGAGGGCGAGGGGTAGGGGGGCGGACGTCCTCGACGTCCGTAATAGCAAGCTCACCGACCTCGGCAAGCAGTGGTAGCGTCGCCGACGAGGTGTCAGAGGGCGGGGTGGGCGACGAGCGGCCGGACACCGACCTGTACTCCGTCTTCCACTCGGCCAGCGACAGCTCCTCGTAGAACACCACATCCGACGTGGTGACCACCCGGTCGGCGTCGACGTCGAGGAGCTCCCAGCCCTTGCTCGCCGCCGACACGCCAAGGTGCACGCCCCACCTGGCCTTCGGCTGCAGCTTCCCACCACGCTGCTGCTCAGGGACAAGGAACTGCGCCATGCAGCCCCACACCCGCGCCAGCGACAAGTCGGGCTTCTTCCCGGTCAGCAGCTGGTATGGCGTCGTCCCCGGTGGCAGCGTCGACCTCTCAAGACAGTTGCGGACCCAGACGGCCTGTCGCAGAGCGAGGTGCCACCAGTGGTGCTGCACGCCCATGTGCAGCAGCATTGTCCGCACTGACTCCACCACCGTCCTCATCTCCCGCTCCGCCATGCCGTTCTGCTGCGGGGTGTATGGGCAGGTCAGGTCGTGGACGATCCCCTTGTCGTTCACGAAGTCGGTGAACTGCTTCCCGAGGAACTCCCCTCCCCGGTCTGAGCGCAGCATCAACACCGACTTCTTCGTCTGCCTCTCAGCCACCGCCAGCCACTGCACGAACGCCGGCAACGCATCTGACTTCTTGGTGACCGGCTTCACCCACACGTAGCGGGTCGTGCGGTCCTTCAGCAACAAGAAGTACAGGCTGCCATCCTTGGCAGCCACGCGGAATGGCCCGCACAGGTCGATGTGCACGACGGCCAGCACATCGTCGGCGTCGGAGCCGTGGTCGGGGAAGGTGTGCCGCGCCAGCTTCCCGCCGACGCACGAGACACAAGGTGAATCAGCGCCCGTCGCCGACTTGAGGTCCAGCCCAATGGCGACCTCGTTCTTCGCCGAGCTCCGTATGGTGTCCATGCCGACATGTGCAAGCCGGGCATGCATACGGTCCGGCGTCGACTTCGTCTTCGAGACGATTGCCCGCAGAGCCACAACCTCCGTCGTGGGCGACGTCGACCTCGTTGCGCAGGGACGCAGGTCGGTGCAGAGGACACGCCCGGAGTACGTCGCCCGACCGAGCACCTCTCCCGTTGCCGAGACGAGCAGCATCCCGTCACCGTCCTCTTGCAGTTTCACACCGTGCTCCTTCAGCTGGCCGGACGACAGCAAGTTCGCCCGCACACCCGGGACGTACAGCACGTCGGGAATGAGCACCTGCTTCCCGGCCTCCCCTTGCAGGGCGACGGTGCCGCGGCCCTGGACATCCTGCAGCGCCCCATTGAAGCCGCGCACGTGCTTGATGAAGCCGCTCGGCTGCAGGTCGACGAAGACTTCCTTCGTCCCCATCAGGTGGTGGGAGCAACCGCTGTCAAGCAGGACCACCGCCGGGTTCGCCTGCACAGCCGCCGCCACCGCCTGGAAGTCCTCTCCGGCCTCCGGCGCCAGAGAGATGGTCGGCTCCACGACGCCGACCAGCGAGCACGACGCCGTCTTGTCGTCTCGCCCCTTGCCGCTTGCAACGGAGTCGGCGTCCTTCGCCGAGGTCGATGTCTTGGTCGACTGCTTCTCCTTGCGCGGCTGGTTTCCTCCACGACGAGGACGACGGCTGCCAGACCTCCCGCGGCCACCCT